TCCACTACTCTTCTGTTTAGACATTTGACATGAAGAAGTTTACAGTTCACTAAATGGGTTTCAGTTGCCTCTTTAATTTTATCATCTGTAAAGAATCTGTCCACATACCTGACAATACCTTACAGTGAGCACGTAAAGGTTGGAACAAATTCGTTAAAAGCTTGATATGGCCATTGGGGGAAAAAAGCTTAGACAAGTTATATATTGTGAACATAACAATCATAATAAAAATAGATTATCTTTGCATAATAATCATTTTTAGTTTATAAATAGGAGTAAAACCTTATTATTGTTGTTATTTGAGGTAGCTTTAGTGTAGGCTTTAGTCCAGAGTTGTCTTAGATATCCATTTAAGTGTATTTTCACTTAATAAAATTTCCGTTTTGGATTTTATAACTGACACGTCGATTTTCTTTTTATTAACGACTGACTAATAACGTTGATTAATTATCCATTCAACGCTAATAATGAATAAACCAAACTAAATACGAGCAAGCGGCAACCAGCGGCAATGACTATACCTTACCTATGTCTGGGTCTGACTCAGACAAAGTACTTTGTTTTGTTCAATTATTTCGCATATATATTTGATACCGAATTGTAAATTAGTCACATTTGAAAAAGAAGTTGTACTTCGAAACATGTCATGTGTAGTGTTTTTAATTTTAATTTTTTATTTTTTAAAATAAAAGTTTTGTGAAAATCTACCAAATTTGGTTTTACTCATTCAAGATAAAATGGATTTTCATCAAGTAAAGGCCGAAACAATAAATAAACATTATTATGTTATTTAAATTAATTAAAGTTTTTACCTAATTGCATAAAATAAGAAGCATATGTCAACAAAAATAAACTTATTTTGAACTAAGTAATAATAGGAATTGAAAATAGGAACAACTTATTGAATAAATTTAATTTCAAAAATAGGAACTAAAATGAATACCCGAATTTAAATCATTTTTAGATTAAAAACATTTTGTGTGAAATAATCAACAGTGGCCAATTTTATTCACTTTGATTATTGTTGTTTACTACAGCCGTAGTCAGCCGGTCTAGAATATTTAAAAATCTGTCAATTCTTGACATCTCCTTATGACATCTTTCCAAAGCATTTTCAGTTGTTTTTCGTTTTCTCATAAAGTTAGAATTGAAGCTAGAAGTCTTAGATGTTTCTACAGAGCAATTGGTTTGTGTTTCAGTGGTAGAATTATTTAATTGTTATTCCACATTTTCCATTTGACCTCAATAACAATATTACAATGGATAAAGGTTGCATAGCAACTGCCTTTTATTTTTTTGAGTACATATTAACTGTCTATTATTTATTTAAAGTTAGGACTAATTAAAAAAAATACCAGCTCCTGTATCTTAAAAATTTTGCACTGATATACCCCCAACAATAAGTCCTCTTTTGCTGGAACCAGTTGCCTTTGCATTTATTTCTGGTTTTGAAAATAATATTTCAACCATAACGTCATAGAATTTCCAGACTTTTATGTTATTTCCAGACTTATCATTATGGTTAAAATAACAAAAAAGGTTAACAGCTGTGTGTGCGTAGTTTAGATTTAAAAGGAAAGACTTTTATTTCGTGCAAAACTTTTTAATTGATAAATGCAAAGCGCTTTCGGCATTGAGCCATCATCAGTGCTTATTGTCCACAAACATATCCAACAAGTTCTTAGTCATCCTTGCTCCCAAAATTAGCTATTTCAGGATATTCACAACTGGCTAAATCATAGTTATTACTATTAGGGCCACTTGCACTACTTAACTGTAGTTTAAATCCTAAACCAGGATTAACGAACATAATTATCTTGCACCGTCATTTAAACGCTATTTAACAGACATAACTAGTTGTTAAAATAAAACCTCCGAATTTGAGGGATTAAAGGAGAGTTTAGCGATAACTTTGGATTTCTAACCTAGAAACTGTGAAGGAAGTTGTTTTGTATAGGTATCTCCCTTTTTTATAATAGACAAAAGCATTATGGATTTAGAATTGGAAGAAGACATATTTTTAGAGGATGATTTAGATATATTGGAAATCCTAGATTTTGGTTTTCCTAGACAGATCTATGAAAGGTCAAATTATTTTCATTCCATGGACGACTTTATTTTTTTAAAAGATTCAGGTTGCTTAAAGGAACAGTTCTTCACATAGTTGAATTAATAGAAGATCAATTAGAATACCCTCATGATTTGTATCTACCAAACAACCTATTCAAATCTGAAAATGCGAATTTTTTTTTTTGAAACAACAGTATTTCGCCCATAAACCAATTGCTAACAACTTTAAGATTTGCATGAATCTACAGCTAGTCGAATAGTTGAAAGGGTGTCTGTAGTACTGGCAGGACCAGTGTTGTTCCTAGGGATTTTTGAATTAAACAAATTTGAATGTGAAAATTGTACACTTTTACGTTCGATTGTACAATCACTAATTAATCTTCTTCTTTTTTATTAAAAGCCTACAATCCCCAATGCTTAAAATAATTTTATTTTGCAGTTTAAAAAATATTTTCGATATAAAACGGTGTACTGATTGGTTGCAAATGGCGCCAAATTTAAATTTTATTATTTTTATTAATTTTAATACATACGATTTAATAAATCGTAGACTTTTTGAACAGAAGAAAACCTAATATATACCACATTTTATATAAATATTTAGCAACTTTATATTGTACAACATTTTTACCTTTTTTCAAAAATGTGTACAACAGTACAACCACATAACTCATTGTACAACTTTTTGTACCAAGAACAACACTAGGCAGGACTATATAGAATATTTGTAAAAATGCCTTCACCTCAAGAAAGACTTGGAATCATATCTGGATTTTTTGATAGAGCTGGATTTCCTCAAGTTATTGGAATAGTTGATGGCACTCACATCAAACTTCAGTCACCTGGTAAATTATAATTTCTGTTTTACTTTTTGTACCTACTATAGTTAAAAAACAACTGAATAATGATATACTTATAGTAACACATTTTTAGGAGGTGATGATGCTGAAGTATATAGGAACAGAAAGGGTTATTTTTCAATAAATGATCAAGTTATATGTGATGCTTCTCTAAAATTTTTGAATGTAACTGGAAGATGGCCAGGTTCTGCCCATGATAACACCATTTTTAATAATTCCAGAATTCGTCGTAAATTTGAACAAGGATCTTTTCCAAATTGCATGCTGTTAGGTAGGTAAAAATTTTGAATTCTTTTAGTAATTTGATTTTATTTGGAACTATCGAACGTGTATAATTTGCAACAAACTTTATTGTACACATCATGATAAGACTATCTCATTAATTTCAGGTGATAGTGGATATGCTCTACGAAATTATATTTTGACCCCACTTGCAAATCCTAATAACCGAGCACAAACAATGTACAATGAGGCACTTATTAGGACAAGAAATACTGTGGAAAGGGCAATAGGTGTATGGAAAAGACGATTTCTAGTGCTGTCATATGAACTGCGAGTAAAAATTGAAACAGTCCTCACTATAATTCCTGCCACAGCAGTGCTACACAACATAGCCAGAGATATGCATGAACCTGATCTTCCACCACCAGTTGACATTGATGAAGCAGAATTTAATTACCTGATAAATATGGGTCAAATGTCAGAAGTGCGTCAACAGGGTGAAGAACACAGAGCTTACCAAGATTACAAGATAAATGGTTATTTTGCTAATTTGTAGTTATTTTTGTAATATATGTATATTTCTCCTAAATACAACAGGAAACATTAGCATGTAAGAAAACTAATTGTGTTAGTTTAGAATTAAAAGTTGTTTATGAATAAAAGCATTCTTGTTTTTTTATAAATTTATATATTTAGTAAGATACAAAAACATTTATAATATAGATGTATTATGTCACTCAGAAGAAGATTTCTTTAATTTTACCTTTTCAATTTCAATTTGGATATCTAAAAGTGTCATTTCTTTATTGTGTTTACTGACACTTTGACTTAAATCCTGTTCCAATTTTGATTTCGTAAATTTCCAGGCGTCCATCCAATAATTTATTGTATTTTAAAGCAATATCTGAAGAAGTCAGTGCTTTAACAGTGACTGCAGGACACCTTCGTACATTTTTTTGTGGCGTTTCCTTGATCTTGGAAGAACCTAACCATAAATAGATATTAGGGTGTTTCATTTTTAGGCAATATTTTTTTTTTCTTTGTTATACCAGAAAATCTTGTACTTTATAGAAAATAAAAAATATTGCCGATGGGTAAAAAATTTTAAGTCAAATAGCGGCCTACCTCTTTTCAAAATTCCATTTGCCACCTAAATAACACAGGAAAAAATTTTTTTTTGGTTTAATTGAATTTTTCGCTATTAAAAAATTTTTTTTTGAAAAAACCTTCTTATAGCTTTTGAAGGAAATTAAATTCTCTACAAAAATGTTCTTATGGCCAAAGACGTGCAACTAATAGTTTCGGAGTTATAGCGCGTCAAAGATGAACATTTTTAAAATAGACATTAAATTCCATTTAAATTACATTTTATTATTTTTACATAAAAATTTAATCATTTTATACAATTTAGAGTATTAAAATTTTTAATTTAAGTATTTTCTCGTTTAATACAACAATAAAATTAATATGATCATTAATTAATTATAACTACGGTAAAATAGTAACACTCATATACGGAAATCATATTTTCACGCAAATTTTTACAATTTTTCTAGTTCGATGTTTCATTGAGGGTGGCGCTGATATCTATGTTTATCGTTGTCTGCATTTTCGATCTATGATAAATGTCTATCTTTCATTTTTTGGCTGGTTTGCATCGATTGACACTAGACATAGATCAACATTAAGTAACCTCAATGATATTTAATGTTTATGTTTTGTATGTATGGTGTTATTTGATATTATTGCTCAAGTATAAAAAGTTTTCTTGGCTATAAATATCAGTTATATTTAATATTAGTACTATTTGTGATGAGAGTTTGTTATTAAGTTAATAGTTTCGGTGAAATGTCAGCTAGTAATTTTTCTAAAAATTTTTATCTGCTTGGACATGAACGCAAATGTCTATCTCAACGGAAACTTCCCAATATCCAGGAAGTACTAAGTTTTTTGATGTATAATTATAAATCTTTAGGCAAATCACTTCATAATAGCATAAAAATTGTTATTGATGAAGTAAATGCTATTTGGAGTAAAACTAAGATTCCTGTAATGAAGAATCCAAATAGTGCTGAGAAATTGAAAAACCTTTATCAAAAGTGGATTAAAATAAAAAAGAACCGTACACATACGAAATCAATTAGCCAAAAAAAAAAAAGAAGAAAATTTCAAGGTTTGTTCGAAAAAGTTATTTGACATAGCAAGTAAAAATAAGAATATTCGCTTAACAAGCGAGCAAGAATCATTTTTGACAAATGAAAGGAATAACAAGCGTCGTAGTATTATACCGTTCGAATCTGAAGAAACAGATTCTGAATCTGAGCAGTCCTTGGAAGGTAGTTTCATGTAATTTTATTTTAATGATATTTTACATAATGTTCCGTATTATTTATTTGTAGAGTTGAGCAAGTCAGTATCAAATATTACTATTTCAAATGAATCACGCACTGATAGTCTCCATTCTTTGCAACGAATGCCGTCTAATTTTGAAGATGAACTACCCACAACCTCAAAAGCAGAGAAAATAGATATAATGACACCTCTAGTTTCTTCTGCGTTGGATCGAACCAATACAACACCCAGGAACGCTGCAATTATTTTGGCCGCTGTTACTCAAAGTTTAGGTATTCCTTTAGAGAAAGTAAACATGTCATCAAGTACTATTTACAGACATCGTAAAGATGACAGAAAAAGTATTGGGAAAGATATAAAAAAAAATTTCAAGCCTACCAGTATCTTGACTCTTCATTGGGATGGAAAACTTTTACCAGAAATGAGAGGTTCAAAAAAAGTTGAAAGACTTCCAGTGATTGTAACGGGTGTCGATTGTGAACAGATATTAGGAGTGCCAAAATTGAGTGATTCAGGTGCTGTAAATCAAAGTGAAGTGATTTTTGAGTTGCTAGAGGATTGGGGTCTTAAAGATGAAGTTGGAGCTTTATGCTTTGACACGACGAGTGTCAATACTGGTACATTATTTTTCAACTTGACTTTATCCTGTTTATCAGTTCTCTACGAAAGGTTTTCGTTTTTATAGGTGAAACAAGAGGTGTGTGTAAATTATTAGAAAAAAAAATGGGGAAAAGTCTTTTAAATCTTGCTTGTCGGCACCATATCCATGAGTTAATTTTACGATGTGCTTTTGAAGTTTACTGGCCAGTCACTTCAGGTCCGAATGTATTGGTATTCAATAGATTTCAACAGTCATGGCCAAATATCAATAAAAAAAATTATAAAACTGGATTAGATGACGTAATGGTAGCCTCGGTTATCCATGACAAAAAAGATGACGTCCTACTTTTCATCTCTCAACAACTACAGGTACTTAAGATTATCGTTTCATCATTTTCAATAATTTTAAGAGTTAAGATATAACAAAAATATTACATAAATATTATCGAAGAAGAATTAAAACTTTCTATAGAACTCTCAACTTTTTATTCCAATTTATTTGAAATATAAAAACTTTTTTATTTATAGGAAAACCAACCACGTGATGATTATCGTGAACTGTTAGAATTATCTTCAGTGTTTCTGGGGAATCGACCAACCGAAAATTTCACTTTTAAAACACCTGGGCCGACACATCATGCACGATGGCTTTCTAAAGCGATATATAGCTTAAAAATCTATCTGTTTCAAGAACAGTTTTCACTAAGCCGGGCAGAGGCTCCAGGACTTCGCCATATTTGTATTTTTATTGTTTTATTATACATAAAAGCATGGTATTGTGCGCCTTCAGCAATCCATGCTCCTCGAAAGGATTTAGAGTTCATGAAAAATTTACTAAATTATAAGAAAATAAATAAAAATATTTCAGAAGTAGCATCGAAAAAGTTCAGCACTCACCTATGGTATCTATCTGAACAACTTATTTGTTTGTCTTTATTTGATGATAATGTTAGTGCAGAAATTAAACTGAGATTGATTGAATCGATTCAAAAAAAAGTCAAGTTAAAAATTTTAAACGCATTAATGTAAAAAATGTTGATATTAATTCATTTTTGGATAAACAATTGTATGATTTTGCTTCCAAAGAATCGTTGATTATTTTTGAAAGGTTTAAACTCCCCACTAATTTTTTAATACACATCCTGATCAATGGAAATCTGACGAGAGTTATAATACTTGTTTAAAAATTTTTCAAAACTTACATGTCGTTAATGATACTGCGGAACGGGCGGTCCAACTAATGGAAGCCTACAATAAAAGCATAACTGGTGATGAAGAGCAGAAACAGTACTTGTTGCAGGTTGTAGCTTTGCACAGAAAAAAATTCCCGAATGCTAACAAGCACACATTAATGTTACCATTTTTAGAAGAATGAAAAAAGATAAATTTTTAGTAACTATAATGACTTATTAATAATAATAATATGAATTTTATTGTTGTATTAAACGAGAAAATACTTAAATTAAAAATTTTAATACTCCAGATTGTATAAAATGATTAAATTTTTATGTAAAAATAATAAAATGTAATTTAAATGGAATTTAATGTCTATTTTTAAAAATGTTCATCTTTGACGCGCTATAACTCCGAAACTATTAGTTGCACGTCTTTGGCCATAAGAATATTTTTGTAGAGAATTTAATTTCCTTCAAAAGCTATAAGAAGGTTTTTTCAAAAAAAATTTTTTTAATAGCGAAAAATTCAATTAAACCAAAAAAAAATTTTTCCCTGTGTTATTTAGGTGGCAAATGGAATTTTGAAAAGAGCTAAGCCGCTATTTGACTTAAAATTTTTTACCCATCGGCAATATTTTTTATTTTCCATAAAGTATAAGATTTTCTGGTATAACAACGAAAAAAAAATATTGCCTAAAAATGAAACACCCTAATAGATATACTTATAACAAAAGAAAAAAATAAAAAACTTGTAATTTACCTGGTTGATTATTGCTTTCGGCACTGTCTGTTAAAACAGAAGAAATCTTTCTTTCCAGTGGAGTGTACACTGGTTCTAACAAATCTTAGGGTTTATACACTTTCCAAGTGGGATTTTTGATTATCACCTGCAATACAAAATTATTTGTAAAGTAATTTTAATGAATAACAACTTTTTCTTATTTTTCAATAAACTGGCACCATAAAAAATACATTGTCTTGTGATAATTCTTCATTGATAATTTCTGCATTGTAAGAATCCTAAAAATAACACAATTTCAAAACTAAATTCTTTGTAATATAATAGTCAACTTACCGTAGCCAAAGATGGTGGTGAATTAGACTTGCCTATATTCTCATAAACGATTTCTACATTTTTATTATGTATAATAACTGGCACTAGGCAGATCAGGTTTATCATTCTCAGACTCGCTAATGACATCTCCCCCCATGAACATTTCAGGCCATAAACCGTCTTCTCATTCATGATCGACAAAAGTAGATCATTTGTTGGATCATCCTTAATATTATCTGGCGGGCCTCCGCCTGTACCTTTAATATGGATTTTCTTATTTGCAGTTTTTTTTCTCAATTTTTTTTTGTTATTCTCATAAAATATTTTTAAAACTTCTGTCGATCTTTTGTTGTTACCCGGAGACATACAATTAAATTCTTTTGTGACTTTTTCCCACATTTTCGATTTTTCCTGGTTTGTAATTCCATCAGTTTTTTATTTTCAATTACATTTTTATATTTAGCAATACAGTTGAATAACAATGATTTTTCAGTACTAGTGAAATTAGTGGAACGATTTCTCACAGATTTATTGTCTTCCATTTTATAAAAATTTAAAAACGATTAATAATACCAATAACTCCAAGTTCAAAACAAAACACATGCACAACACAAAACCAACAATCCTAACATAAAAAAGCGGGAATTGGAAAAGAGGTTAGATTAAATCACTTGAAGATAGCTATTATTACCAACATTTAAAAAATCACTAAAATTACAGCATAATATTAATCCAGGTCACTTGACTGACGGCGCAAGTGAAAATCATTTAATGCTGGTTTAACAAATAAACTATGGTTTAATTAACAAGCGTTTAAGTCAAGAACGGTGCAAGTGGCCCTTAGTAGTATTTTCAAATTTATTATGGTTCTTAACAAGTTTGTACATATTTTTTTAATCCTTTGAATTTGGTGTCACACTGTTGAAATGTGAATAGTTGACCTCATTTTTCTGTCAATTCTTTGGCCATTTTAATCCACACATATTTTTTACTGCTGTTTCAAATTCTGTATCATATTTTTTGCACAAAGTAATAAGCAGATTGATAGCTTTATCACTCTGTTACGAGTTCTTACTAATTTCCATCTAAATATTATTACTAGTTCATACTTAAATTTTGGCCTACAAATATTACTGAAAATAAATTAAATAATAAAAATTCTGGCTATCTCTTGCCTATGAAGTCAACTCGTAATCACCTCAACTAGCTCAGTAGGGGTGGTTCTACAAATTTATAACGCGCCAGAGATTTAATATGGCCAACTTAAATCACAAAATTACTCGTTGTTGAGAGAACAGATAACACAAAATTCTATGATAAAATTAATCTTCTTAGTTCCAAGAAATTACTAATTATGTAAATAAATCAATTTATTACAAGTACTTTAATGAAGAATGTTTACCCAAGCATCTGGAGTCAGTGGAGAATCAGCAATTTAATAATAATTGTAATTAGCTCACCTTATATAGTCCAGTAACCAACTGGACATCACAGGATCCTAGATTTGAGAAGAAACGAAACTCAGGATATTGTTACTGGGCTTTATTACAATAATAGAAGTATGCAGCTTACAATTTTAACCTTCAGGGTTAAATAAGCACACCATTTGTTCGAACAAAGGGAGGGCAGCGTATAATAGGGTACAAGTATCTAAAAATAAATTAAATAAATACATGTTTCATAACTTGAAATAAATGAGAGGTTTGACTGTCACAGCCAGTATTCTGGGCTGTTAAAAGTAAATTGTATTAGATAAACATATGGTATATAAGACATAAAACCTGTGAGAGTCAATCCTACAAGATCCGCTAAACTTAAACTTATTTCCTAAACACAAAATATTCTTTTTATAGATAAATAAACCACCCAACAATGAAAAGTACCCAATAACAATATATATTTATATTCAAAATAATTAAGACATCAGTTGTATGAAAAAAAAACATTTAGTGTCCCTTTAGGGGTACACCTTTAGAAGTAATAATAAGACATTCTGCACTAGGCAAAAGGAATAAATATTCCACAGCATCAATTAAATAAAGGTTAAATAAAACCATATGAATAAACACTAAACTATTATAAGACTTATCTTTTTGAAGCTCTTCTGGAGCTAGTGATGAAAGCCGAAGTAAGTTTACGGAGCTTCTTGGGAAGGTGGTAGTAAAGTCTACAGCCTGTTTCCCCCAGGACTCCTCAATACCGCTCGAGGTTCGAGCTGCAGGAAGGACTGCTAGTAAACATGAACGATTCAACAGTTGGGAGGTTCCACCACATAATAGCAACATGAGCCATAGTAATAACCTTGTTGCACACAAGTTCTTCAAAGAAGATGGCGGGTACGTCCCCATGGGCATGTTCCGCTGCTAACACCGTCACAATCGTTGTGTATCCAATTTTTAAATCCTCCACAAGGAGTAGTTTCCGTAAATGGGATGAATTTGATAAACGGGCCAAAAATAGGAAATCTCTTACTTAAAATAATTCTGGAAACTCTTTTTAAAGTAACCGACCTAGATCCACCAATAACTAAAAGGTGCTAATTTGGTACAGCTTCTTTTCGGTACGACGAACAGGTTGCAAGAGAGCGATTTTTACTCAAAAACCCACTGACTTAAGAATCTACTTTTTCTCAACTAGCAAGGCCTTTAAAATAACGCATTCTAGCCAACTATGTTGATATCAGCTGTGATAACGATACAATATAAAATAAATGAATTTATTGTAATTCACCCTAAATACAATAACATAAACCCCCTAAGATTACTAATTCCCCAAAATATACATTATTGAAAAACAGGAACAACCCTTACAAAAAGTGGCTGTATGTACTGATCGGACCAGAACAGCTTAAACGAAGAAAACCCTTGTCTGTATCTGAGGAACGGAACTAACCGAGCAATTCCGAACAGACATCAATCGTACCAAACAATACAGCACAGGACAATGCCTAGATCCAATTAATTTGAAAACTGGTAATAATTCAAACATATAACTACCAAAAATAAATAAACCAATTAATTATCGGATTTATAATAAATTATACGTATTATAATAATGTAATTTGGATTAGAATAATATAAAATGAAATGTTATAGGTAAAGAAATGCCCTAATTAATCCTAAATAAGAATAATATTTTATACGAGGGATAGTACAAAACTATTAACTAAATTTAATAGTAAATAATACTTAAAAATAAAAACGGGAGTGTAACAACTCTAACTTTTTGAGTTCTCTGAAAACAAAAGCTAGATGCATTAGAGAATTTTTTACTCATATACATATAATGAGAGCAATTTAAAAAGCACTAGTAACATGACCTACCTAAGTTTGTGTGCTCTAAACCTGTAGTATTTGTTAATTCTTGTACATCAACATGACTTGAAGTCGAGGGGCAATTGTTTTTGTTCATTTTGTATAAGGTTTACAGCAGCTACAAAATTTTCTTTTTCTTGTTCTCTTTGTAAAAGAGTTGTAGCCAAAACTAAATCTAAAATATATGTTACATGCAATTTGCTTATAATTAGCCTTTTTCCTGGGAAGATTTAAAAAAGATCCGCTAGGGGCAGCACCGGTGGGGGGTACATATGTTTCGAATTCTCTATTGACAACGTCAAACGTACGTTTTATTATTATTAGAATAAATAAATATTGTGATAAATAAAATTAAAAAACAAATTGTCATGCCTACAAAACATTGTGGGTTTGCAAATTGTACGTCTGACAATCGTTACAAGCGAGATGGTGTAAAATTTGTGCCTTTCATAAAACCATAAGTTGACAAAAAAAAGTGTTTGTAGTGGATACATTTACCACGAAGGGCAGATTTAACAGTTGAAAAATAAAAAAACATACTTTTATTTGTACAAGACATTTTATTAATTCAAATAGACCAACA